CCGGCTCCCCGCAGCCCCCGGGGCTCGTTCGGGGCAAAGCAGCCCCTTGCGTCCTCGGGCCCACCTCTCCCGTCCGTTTGAGGCACGCAGACCCCGCTCAGCCCCTGCTTTTGAGGGCCAGGCGGGGGTTAAGAGCCGATGGCGGCTCGCGGCCGCGTTGGTTGGTGACAACAAAAGGGAAAACGCTTTAACTGCGGCTAGATGCCGGGTTAAGTTTTCTTTGCTGGGTTTCTCTCCCTGCTTTTCCCCGTCGTTTAGCATTGCGGGCTCCCCCGAAGTGCCCTGCCCGCGGGGTGAGTTTTGGGGGGCTGGGGGCCACGCGCCTTCTAGTGACGCTTGGGGCAGTGCCCGGCTCCTGCTCCCGGTTCCTCCCGCGCGCCCACGGTGCCAGCTCGCCCCAAAGCGCCTGAAATCGGGGATTTCCCCGCCGTGGGGCAGAACCGAGACCCGTCGCTGCCGCGGGGCAGGGGCAGATGCAGGGCCGAAGGGCCCGTGGGGGGTTTGGGGTACCTGGCGGGCGTGCACCCCTCATCCCCCCATTGCTTTCTCTTTCCTGGCCCTCGCTGGTGTCGCTCGGGAGGGTTGCGGTGTTTTTCCCGGCAGCGGGAAGTGTTTCTGCTCCTGGAGCATCCCCGCGCCCGGGGGCCGGGACGCAGGCAGGGCACGGCGGCGGGTACCACAGGCTCGGTCTCGGCGGGGCTGAGCTTTATTGGTGGAGCCGCTTGTTTCAGCCCGGTTGATTCCCCCTTTCCCCACCTCCACGACCGCCCCCGAGTCCTTCGGGTCAAACCTGGGGGGCTCCTTCGCCCCGACGCCGGCCCCCGACCTCACCTGGCTGCGTCCACGTGCCAGCACAATCCAGCCCCCGCGGAGGCATCGCCCTCCGCAAGGATGGAGCCGAGGCAGGGGGGTGGCAGAGTCCCGAGCCCCCACTTGTGTCCCCAAGGATGGGGAAGGGATGTGTCCCTTCCCAACGGTGCTGGGCTCGAGGGGCCACCACCTGCCCTCACTGCTCCTCCTTCTCCTCCTCCTCCTCGGGGAGCTTCTTGCGGGTGAAGAAGCCCAGCTGGGGCGAGAGGGAGAGGAGCGTGAGGAAGGCAGGCAGAGCCCCCCAGCCCCTGCTGTCCCCCCCCGGGCCCAGCCCCGCTCTCACCTTCCACAGGCAGAAGATGATCAGCGCCAGGAGCAGCAGCCCCCCCAGGATGCTGCCCACCAGGATCCAGAGGGAGATGGGCACCCGCTTCGCCTGGATGATTTCAAGCACCGTCTGCGGAAAAAGAAGGGTCCCCGGGGAGCAAAGGGGGACGGGGGTGTCCCTGCGGCCCAGGTCTGGGGGCAGCGGGGGTCTGGGGGGGCTCCTACCTCCCTCCGATGTGCCCCCTCCTCCAGCACCAGCACGCTGCTCCCCGGGACCCCCAGCCAGGCCCTGCTGATGACTTTCACGCTCCTGAATTTAGCCTGGGGATGGGGAAAAGGGGGGGTTCAAGCCGGGTTTCCCACCCCAGCTGGGGGCTCCACGCTTCCCCTCCTCACCCCGCGGAAGAAGTCGTTGTGGATGGGGGGGGGGGCGGGGGTGGGGGGCCACCCCGCCCCAGCCGCCCCAGCCGGCAGCTCAGCTCCTGGCACCAGGCGTTGCCGCAGTCCTACGGGGGAAAAACCGTGGGGTGACGTGAGGGGACCCCCCCGACCCCCCCCAGACCCCAGCTCGGGGAGCTCACGGCGACGCTCACCAGCCCGTCCACGTGCAGGAGGTCTTCGGGGTGCACGGGGACCAC